AGAAACTATTTGGTGGATTCAACTCCAAGTTTGGAAGAAGTTTGGAAGTTTGATTGGTTTGAATTTCTTTTACTTTATTGTTACTCTATTTTTGTGCTTTAAAATTGCTTATATTTTTTGTCATTGTATTTACTTGACTACTTGTCTGGTTGAGTATTTTGGTTGTATTTGGTTGCATCGGGGCTTTCAAAATGTTATTAAACTGAAAGAGATTGTGGCCTCTCCTGGTACTTCTCCTTCTCCGTATGTTCAGAGTCGTTATTTAATTCATGAATATCGAACATATATTATATGTTTTGTTGTCTTAATTTTCAATCAAGAAAATTTACTCTTCTATGTATTGAGCAGACCTTCGGAGTTGCTTGTTAGAGCTACGAAATATGATTCGGCAGTAGACATGTGGTCAGTTGGCTGTATTTCTGCTGAACTTTTGCATGGAAACCAATCTTATATGGAAAAATGAGGTTAGGCATACACCTTGAGTTGTTGTACTCTTTTTTCAGCCTTTTTTTTTCATTATTTTTTAAAGAAAAAATCTGTCTTATCTTACTTTTTGAATTATCATAGCTTATTTATCTATCAAGGAATTTTGGAAGAGTTAAGTAGATGGTGTTTTGTCTTTTGTCACAATTGCCTTTTATGAAACGAACTTGGATGATTATCATGATTATTTATTAGATTGGTTCAGTTTGTATACACTAGAAGAAAGGATATGGAGCATTGTTGGCTTTTGGAGCATCCCAAGTTCATATACTTAATAATCAGCCCATGTTGAAAGCTTTTTATTTCCATTTAACATTTTTAGCACATCAAAATCTTGGAAAAAGTTGGTTACATCTTTAACGGCTGAGTCATCTGTCTTATTCTTCTACATACCTATAAGAATGAAACCATAACAAGATCTTTGAATGCCACGAGATAGTGCTCAGGCTTGGAAACCCAAGCATTCATTATGCTGTCTAAGCATGGAATCCCAAACAATTATCTGATGATACACTTAAGGGTTGCATCAACTGGTTGAGCCAAATGTTGTTTAGCCTTTTACTATGCCCTTTCTTTAGATTGCTTTTGTGAACTACTAATTGCAACAATTACTGTTTAAATGATAATATCTGTTCTACACAGTAATTCTCAAATTGTGCATATATTAAATTCTAAATGTGTCACTCTTTGAATTTTAAAGGTGATCATGTCAAATTCCATATTAGCTACAGCAGCAAGATTTTGAACTACAACCAGGTTTGGTGCTACCCCAAAAGTAGTTTGATTTGTTGGAATAATTACTCTCTCCTTTTTTCCCCCACATTTACAGTATGTTCTCGCTGGTGTATTGGGGTTACTTGTCATTACATCAAAAGACTCAAGTGCAGACACATACATTGGAAACAGCTGTTCGATTCATCTCTTAGTGTTAGTTTTCATTGTAATGGTTCTGCATTAGAGATACAAAATTTTTTATTTCTTACTTTGATTTGGAAAGAAAGGAGTGCATTTGTGTATCTAAAGAAGCTAACAAATGACGTTACACTGTAGACTAATAAAAAATAAAAAATGAGAGAACAATGTAAGCATGATGTTACATTGTAGACTATAGTAGGCATTAAAGGCACTCTAATGAAGCTAACAAATGGCTTTTTTTCAGCAATATCACATTAATTGCATAATGTTCTATGAATGCTGTTTATTGCCTAACCTGGCATAAGCCACCCTGCAGCCATGTTGATTATTATGTGTTGTATGTGATTCTGCATGCATTAGCGTTTCTGTGTGGGCTTTCCCCAATGTTCATTAGATACAACATATTTACACCGTCTATGACGCATCCAACACCACGACATCTACGGCCTGGTTATGGAATGCTAAGCCATTCCTCTGCTAGGTTTGATGAAGCCATGGCTACAGAAATGGAAAATTTAAGGTTAAAATTACCTTCGAAATTTTTACACAATATTCTTAAATCTTGTGTTCTATGTTTGATACGTTTCACTTTATCTTTTTGGTTAGCTTATAGTTTGATTTTGGATTATTTTTGTGGTTATAGTTTGTCAAGCATAGGATCTATGTATGATGTTCAGGATCTCTTATCTGACATGCTTCAAGCTGTCAATCCAAGTGATCGCTCAGTTGAAAACTCTTTATTCTGTTCATGGTTCCAAAATTTTCAGAAAATTTCCTCACATTTACTTCTCTGTAGGTTGTAAAAGATGAAGTGATGATATTCCAACCAGAGGAAATTGATATTCCAACCAGAGGAAATTGATGCAGATGTTGACTACTACAGGGTCTCTGTCTGTCTCTCTCTCTCTCTGCATTTCAATGGACCACTTGTCTATTCTATTCATTGCCCAGCTAAAACCAGGAAATACTAAGGATGGTAGTGGAAATCACCGTGACACAATTGCTTATTACTTTGAAGAAAATGCAGCAACATCTTCTTTCAACAAAGATTCCAGCATCAGTGTTCAGAATCAATTTCTCCAAGCTGAAGAACAGAACTCAGAAGCTGGTTCTTCAGTTTTTTTTTTTTTTTATAATTTTGCTTTCCATTCGTCTTGTTCAATTCATTAACATTGCTCACTTTTCATTTTAGAGGAACAACGATCTTCTTCAAAACCACGAATTCATCTCACAAGAAGGTTTAGAAATGCTGGAGAGATAGAAGAAGAACCTACAGAAGTCAATGACTCTGGCAACAGCAAAAAAACAAAACTTGTCTGATCTTTCATTATCTATGCTGCTCTTTCAAGTTGCATTACTGATGTTGCAAATCTTTTGAATACTGTCGAGAATAGACAAGCTCAAACAGATGCAAAGCTTGTGTTTTGTTGAACTAATATATGTGCATTGAGTTCCATTTAGATGTTTTTGCTTAGAACTAATGCTTCAGTTATCAAGGCTGACATATTCTACATTGTTGTCAGGAATGAATTTCATACGATGTAACTCCCAAATACTTATCACCATTTGGTATATTTATCTGTTTATTTATCAGAGCACCTGACTTTTGGAGCCAAGTAGCATTTTTTTGCTTAGTAATTAACTTAATGCATGCACATGGATTGCCATGATTCTATATGTGTAATGAACTGATCTATCAATTTGATGCACAATTTGATAGCTGAATCAAACAGATACATTTTGTTTCAAGTGAACTCTTTTTTATCTACTACACCAGTCAGTTTCAGAATTACAACCAATTAGACCACATTTACATTTTATACTCATCCTTGTATCTTTGCACACCATCTTTTTCCTTCTGCAACACATCGAACTTTCCTTTTTTCTTTATACTTTCTTACAGTAATTGACTTTAAGATATGTTGTACTCTTAATATTTAATCCAACCACGCCATTATCATCCATATAAACCCTTCTTAACCCCATCTAAAGGTGCATGCATGCTGGTTACTCCACCGCGCAACGCCGCGGTTATACCTCCTAGTAACATCCAACGCACACTACCTCAATCACTATCCACTGACACGTGTCAGTCCCAAATTCAACTAGTGGTAGCTCTCCCCGGCCTTCTCAATACGTTACTTCAAAACCATGTTGCATGGATACCAAATAAAGTGCAGGTTGTGGAAAGGTGTTGCGGCATTAGAGTTAGAGATTTGTTTAATTTTCGATCACTTGAGATCCTCGGTGAACAAAGCCAAAAAGAGACAAAGTCCCTGGAAGATTGTGGCATCGTTGCCCAATAAGCCCTGATGCTATCGTAATCAATGACCTCAGATTCAGTAACGGACCTGGAACGCTGCACAATTGAGCGTCCATGGAGTTGATCCAATCTTCTTTCTCATTCTCCAAATCAGCCATGAAGTACACGGTATCCTTGCCAGTGGAGGGCTTATTGAGGACGTCCTTGGTGCCTTTGGTGCCTTTGGAGGGCTTACACGGTATCGTTTTGGTTCAAAGTTTTAGAGAGTAGAGAAAATTTGTGTTAAATCAAACTAATTTGAATTATTAAAAAAATTAAAATGCAAATAATAACAGGACACTTGACGTAATATTAGAGGTGGCATTAGATTGGCACTCAAAATATGTCACCGAGGATCCCAAGTGCTTTTCGATTACCTAAAGAAATAAAAATATTCGACGTCGAACTTTTATTAGATAGGTCCAACCGTCCAATAAGGGAGACTGAGTTCTTTTTAAGTGGGAGATTCTAATACAGAACGAGGAACTGGTTCTTCGATCTTTTATTCTACATCTACAAGATTGCTCAAAGTTAATTAAGGGTCTGTTTGGTTGGACAGAAAATATTTTCCCTACGAAAATATTTTCCATCGAAGTTATTTTCCTGGAAAATCACTTCCTTCTCCATAATTTTCCAGTGTTTGGTTATTTAGTGAAAATATTTTTCAAATTCCTTTTTTCATAATTTTCGGGTGATTGTTTGTCAGTGAAAATATTTTTTGACTTTCTTTTTTAATGTTTGTTGATATGTTGCAAATGTTTTTCTATTCTCAAAACATTCATCTCATTACAAGTGTTTTTTAGCTTCTATCCATTATAATCATATTATCATTTTTATAAAACATTTATTAAAATTATGCCATGAATTCTTAAATGGAATTATTAATGACACTAATGAATTGGTTTTTGATCTTCCTTTAAAAAAAATCAATAAGGGGGTGAAGATCCCAGGCACCTTCACCTTATTCACTGAACGGTGGACGCAATAAATATATACATATACATATATATATACATATACATATACATATACATATATATATATATATATATATATATATATATATATATATATATATAAAAGACTCCAAGGCAGTAACCATGCCAGGAAAGCAATCAAGCAAGCAACGTGCTGCCTCTTATCCACATTATGAAGTATTAATATCTTGGACTTCACAAAATTTTATCTAAATAAATGGCAGCTGTTCCATCAGATAGATATAGCATCTTTCACTTGATGGTAATGCATTCCGAAATGAACTGATGTTTGGCCTAAAACAGAAATGGAGCAGTCATCATTCTGCAACCGCCTGTGCATGCATGCACAAGAGAATTTAACACAAATTTTGAGTCAAGAGCCTGAATGGCCATAGTGCTCTCTAACAGAAACATGAGCAGCCAATTGATTGATTTGTGCTATGGTAAGAGCCAATTCAAAAAATATTAGATCTATCAGATCAATAATTTCAGTACAACCTTCTATGGAGCTCAAAAGCAACAAATGCACCCATCAGGGTTTAAATCTCGTCAGCAAACAGAAGTTGAGTTTACAGTCTGAGGACTAGAGAAATTTACAAAGTTAGATCCAGCCCGTCAAACCATATCTGTCAGCAAGATTGTATATTACCAGCTGATCCCAGGCATGCCCAAAAAGATGCTCTACTCCTATGGCAAAGGTAAGAGCCCACGAAGTGAGAAGAACAGTGAACGCAACGAACCCAATGGCTGATCCAGTTCTTAGTAAACTGGGGCCTAATGCTTGAAGGTGCTTCTGCATCTGACTAGCCACATTGAATCCTCAACCCTTCAATGGAGAGAGCTTCAAAATTAGCCATGGCTAATGGAACAAGATCTTCCAAAGACACATAATCTGAATGTACTTTATCTGATATTGAGCCTAAGTTTGGAGCATTCTAACTGTGATCTATTACTTTTTGTAAATCTTTAAAGGGAGCTTACTATTATGTCAGAAGAAATTAACGATGCAAGAAAATCCCTATTGCTTGCAGTAAGGTTCCAAAATAATTGAACAGGCAACTGTAACATCAGAGCTTCATTATCTTTTCCATAGCTACCAACATTTTCAGTCTTTCTAACAAACCAGAAGTTTCTTCTTTTTCCCTTCTTTTTTTTTTTCCGTTTTCCATCTTTCTTAGTGTTGTATGCGTGATACAGGGTTCCAGAAAATCCCAGCAAAACTAATGCAACATAAATGCCATAAACAAATAGAAACCTGTAATAACAATCCTGCTCAATTATTTACTATCCTTTCCTTTTTTGAGTTTTCTTGGTCCAAAATTACCAGTAATAACTTGTACAGTGCTATCAGAGCTTCATCAAGCTCTATACAATCTCCAAGAAACAAACACAAGCAAACCCAATGTGTGATTGTGTGTGTGTAGCAAAAATTATCTTAATGGGATACAAAAGTCATCAAAGCAAGAAACTTTTTCTGCAATTTCTTAAGGGAACAAAGCAGGTTCTCAAAAAAAAATCAACAATAAAACCTACCATGCATAAATCAAGAAAACTACCCACTCAAAACTAGAAATTCCAGTAAAAATACTACTAACGATCAATAAGCAAGCAATAAGTTTGACTCACCAGGACAATGAATTGCGATATGATCCAACCCTTCAAGAAAGTAGGAAAAGAAATAATAGAAAATGATGAAGAGCTTCAGCCCGAGACCTGTAAGAAGAAGGATTAAGAGAATAGCCCAATTGAAAGAGTAGCCTACCTCTGGAAGTGGGTCTTCGCCGGAGCTGGAGGCGCTGCCGGCGAAGAAGGATTGGTTCGCCGATAAGTTGTCAATCGATGGTCTTCAATCGTTGAGAATGGGCATCTGCTGAAGTGGAAGAATGTCTTTAGGCCGTGGTGTAATTTATTTTCCGTTAGAAATTATTTTTCCAAATTAAATTGTGTCCAAACAATGGAAAATTAGTAAAACATTTTCTGAAAAATATTTTCCGTCCAATCAAACAGACCCTAAGAGTGAATAAATTGGATAGTCATAGTAATTTAAGTACTATTTTTATTAGTTTTGTTAGAGTTTTATTATTATTACTAGTATAGAATGAACTTGATATTTAAAAATAATGGACAAATGGTGTCGGGTCCCATGATTGGTTTTATGTCGGGCGTTAGCCAAATATGTAGCTTTATTCGTTTAGTCTTTTAACTATGTTTTTTTTTTTTTAGAGCCAGACTCATTGTAGCCTATAAAAAAGCACATCTAGGATCTTTGTAATCACAAGACATTTTTCTCCAATTGTAATATATTGTTGCTTGATTTTTACCAATTATGAGAGTTTTCTCTTGTTGTTGCAAATCTATGATTCAATTTCAGGAAATGGTTCAATGAAACTTTTTTCTTAATTCACGCTTCTGTATTAAGTTGCAACCAAGCAAGTCTGATCGATCAAGGAACTAGGCCGAAAGAAATTTCATACAAAGAAAAACCAATTAGGCTTCTCGGCCAGGTACTATTCTACTTCGGACTTCCCACCCCAGTTATTTCTCAAGGACTTCTCTTCAATGAATGGGATCAAAATGGCCTAAAACTCTGATAGGTTGCAATTTTATCATTTATTTTATTATTAATTTTTCTTATTACCTGACTTGATATGGATTAATTATTAGATTCTACTCACTTTTCGTAATTTGCATTTATTTCAGGGAGTAGAACGAAAATACTATAATAAGGGCCAATTTGACAATTATCAGGAAAGAGTTCAAATAGCAGGCAATCAAGGGCATTCTTGGAACAAGAAGATGCAAGATTTTTTGGTAATTTTGACCGAAGACAGCAACTAAAAAAAGGATAAAAGAAACCAAACCTGGAAGGGTTGGGGTCGTCGAGGTGTTCCTTCCTCTTGGGAAGGAAGCCGCCGCACAGAGCCAAGCATTAGTATAGGCATTAGATAGGAATTGGGGGAGCAGAGGATTTGTCCTCTAAGGAGCTTTTGATCTTTGACTTTTCTTGTTGGCTTAGGAGTAGCCTTAATTCTCACGTATGTCAGGGTCAAAAAGGAAGAACTTTGACTCTTGCTTTCTTGCTTTCGTAGTAGCTTTCCTCCCTTGGTCAAGGATAATGGCTGCGGCTTCCTCTCCAACTTTGCGTGGATTTTGTTCACCAGGAATGAATTAATTTTTCTTTTTCTAGTCAAGAAACAATGGATGCTTTGGATCGCCTAAACTTGTGAGATCGATTTAATTTTATCTTTTTCTTTTATTTATTGATATTCGCATATTCCTTGATTGCAGTGCTTATGATTATTTGATTAATTGATTTTCTTGGATCCGGATAATTAATTGATTTGGTAATCTATTGTCAATTAGGGTGTTAAATCCGTAATTGTTTAATTGCTCTAAAATAGTGACAACTGGCATGATTAGATTTGTGTCAGGAGAATATGCGGGTTAATCTAAAATAACCCTGGCAGTACGTTATTTGGTTAGAATAGGGCTCCTCTAATACGTAAGGCAATTGGGAAATTAAATTCTACGGGCGTACCTAGGATTATTTCTCAATTAGAGCAGTGATTAACGGGCGTACCTTGATCACCGACACAATAAGGAGGGGTTGATTGCCATCGCTTGTTTGGTAGTTATAACCTATTTATTGATAAATAATTGGAATTGCCTTTGTTTCGATGATCAATTAGGTGCACCATTGCTGAAGTTATTTCTTGGCTAGATTCTTAATTATCACTCATTTGATTTTAGTAATTTGTTATTTAATTTTTAGTAGTTTCTTAGATTTTATTTGAACTTCTTTTATTGTCACCTTCTGCACAAAAACACCCCTTTTGTTACTGTGAACTTGAAAAGAAACAATTACTCCCAATCCCTGTGGATTCGACCCTGCTTACCACTATCTACAGAAATTACTTTTAGTTTGAGCAGATTTTATTATTGCACAGGTTTCGACAACCTGTCAAACTCTTACCCGGAAAAAAAAAACCAATAAATTAGTTAAGCAATTGTCAAGCAAATAATAATTGTCAAGCAAGAAGAGGGCAAAATTGGAAGAAATTTCTTATCTCACTTCTACAAAAGCTGTCAGGGAGGTTTCTGCAACAAATTGTTACTGTTCAGGGGAGGTGAATGCAATTTCAAAACCTAGAGGGGAGGTCAGTGCAAATGTCAAAAATTTCAGGGGAGGTTTCTGCAATTATCCCTTTTGCAATATCTAATATCTAATTTTATATTGAGGAAATAACTTTTGCGCAAGACAAGTCAAAATTTATATAATTTTTAATGCTTATTTGGATTGCAAGGGTGTTGCCCATTCTCAATTACATGTAAACATCACCAAGTTTGGAATGCAATTGAAGGATTGGCTTCTCGAAGCACAAACCTCTCGGTAGGCCAAAACCGACATCAGTCATATGAGATTTAGCAAACCAACGGCGAGCAACGAACTGGTTTGCTAATGGGTCCGGTCCAGCTCATGCATCTTTGTCACAATCCCTCTCTGTCTCTCTTGTTTCTCTTACAAACTCCTCCGTTAAGTAGTTGCCAACGTCTCTTTGTCTCGGCCGTTTTCTCTACTGCTGATGATCTTTGAACCGTTTGCCAAACAAAGCAAAACCGGCTTGGTAGCCTGAAAAAGTCAAGAGAACCTAACCGACATCAGTCATATGAGATTTAGCAAACCAACGGCGAGCAACGAACTGGGTGAATTGTGTGGGGGCAAATATACTAGTCAAATATACTGGATTTCATGCTTTGGAGGGATGTTGAAAATCTTCCCTAGTATATGTGAATAAGCATGAAATCCAGCCACACTACGACTACGCTGGAGGCGCTTCAATATTGTGTGGGGGGCGCTTTTTTCCTTTATTTTCGTAGGGCTAAACTTTTTCAAACTGGAGGGATGTTGAAAATTTTGGTCTATACACTTGGATGCATTTCAGGCAAAAAGAATTGTGGACATCAACTCGGGGATTTTTGTTGGGTGGGGGGCGTTTTGGATAGAGAAAATAAAAAGGAAAAAAGCTTGGGCAAGACGCGAATTCTTTAAGCACCAGCATTATGTATTTCTGTGTCATTATTTGAATGCAATTTCTAGTTCCAGTTAATGGAAAATTTTACTGTAATCCGAGGTTAACAAGTCAGGGAGGAAAAAAATCAGCCGCTATTAGCAAACTCAGTTGGAGTTTTATTGGGATCAGTTGAGGATAACCGAAGCACATATATTTGTGTGCCGCTTACAGTCGATGATCAAAGCTCCTGAAAATTGGTTTATGGATTAAACAGCATGCACGTCCCGTTCCTGCCTCGTATCACAAAAGCTCTTCCCCCTTCATAGTTGAGTCTGTTTATTGGTTTTTTTTTTTTTTTTCCTGGGTAAGAGTTTTAGGCCATTTTGATCCCATTCATTGAAGAGAAGTCCTTGAGAAATAACTGGGGTGGGAAGTCCGAAGTAGAATAGTACCTGGCCGAGAAGCCTAATTGGTTTTTCTTTGTATGAAATTTCTTTCGGCCTAGTTCCTTGATCGATCAGACTTGCTTGGTTGCAACTTAATACGGAAGCGTGAATTAAGAAAAAAGTTTCATTGAACCATTTCCTGAAATCGAATCATAGATTTGCAACAACAAGAGAAAACTCTCATAATTGGTAAAAATCAAGCAACAATATATTACAATTGGAGAAAAATGTCTTGTGATTACAAAGATCCTAGATGTGCTTTTTTATAGGCTACAATGAGTCTGGCTCTAAAAAAAAAAAAACATAGTTAAAAGACTAAACGAATAAAGCTACATATTTGGCTAACGCCCGACATAAAACCAATCATGGGACCCGACACCATTTGTCCATTATTTTTAAATATCAAGTTCATTCTATACTAGTCAAATTTACTGGATTTCATGCTTTTATTGCATATCTTGGCCCGGCTGATTCGTTAACCCTTAGGTTCAGCACGCCAACCAAGACATACGTGGGAATAGTTCTATGCATCCAAATAATCTATGAAACAAATCAGGGCGCGGTACCAGTCAAGGAACTACACAGGTGGTCTTGTCCCCTGTGAGGGTGGTTGCTGACTAAAAATGCTTCCAGTGAACAGATTTGTTGCCAGGTCGACAAGAATATTAAGAGCAGTTGTGATTCCTGTGAGAAGCCCTCTATAAATGCACTGAAATACCGGAAAGGCGGAAATGATGGCAAATAATCCCCAGGAAATGTAAAGGACTATTAGGCCATGAAAGTGCGGTAACATCAGTGATACTAGCGAGAGACATGAGACCACTCCAGCTGCAAGAGCAACGCGACTGAAGATCTTCGAGTGTTGATTACGGCGATTTCGTGATTGCGTCAACTTCAATAGCACCAGGGAATAAAGGAGAATGGTTATGAGGAAACTCCAAATGTGTAGAGCAAATTTTATGGATGGATCTTCAGAGCTCGCCCGATACTTGACCGCCACGACGCCAAGTAAAAGTGGAGTCAAAAAATTGAAGGCTGTATGAAAAAGAGGCTTGATACTGGACCTTTGCTTCAATGTTGCATGCCTGCTGCAATCAGGAAGGAAGGAACTCTCAATTAGTTACAAATTCACATGCAGACACAAATTTCTTTATTGGTAAACAGGACTCAATTGTTTGCAACTGAGATGGAGACAGAAAATAAGAGAGATTTGGACGAACCCCACCCGTCTCCATTCGCAGCAAAGTACTAAAAAATCCCAAAAAAAACAGGGAGTCACACAAATACTCAACAAGAAACAGAGAAAGAAAATGAAGAATTTCATCCCAAGAATACAGGCCCTGTTGCCAAATGCAGGGGCCCCTGTAAATTGTAATAATGTTGTCCAACAGGCCCTGCATTCTCAAGAATACAACCCTGTCGACACTACATGTTAAGAATATAGCAGAAGAGAACCAACCTGCGGCCCCGGAGTGGAAGAGAGAGGCCACTTCCAATGTCGTTCCGCCTTGTAAATCTTTTTCTCTTTGTTTTCAATCTCTGTGGAC